AATACAGTTTGGAAATGATGGAGAAAATTACAATACAATTACTTCCAATACACCTTATTATCGGCAATTGCGATCGACATCCTGTTCATTTCCAGTTTATGCGGATGTACGGCAATAATTACAGCGGCCCGCTTTGCTTCCGCTTTCCTCCAGACTCCGAGGACGCTTTACAATTTATGTTTGATATTCCCCACCTTCTAAACAATTTAAGATGAACTTTTTGGATAAGAACATTTACATCAGAAGCAGACTCGGTAGACAAATTGACTTCATTAATCCTGATATAATAAATGCGATTTTCAACTCAGAAGCTGGAAAAAGGATATGTTTTCAATTGCACAAGACAATTTTCGCACCCAGCTATTACCGTTCGTATGCTTATACACACAAACCGATGGAGAGAGTTGCGGCGTTTTTTCACAAAAATGTCCTAGAAGTCTTAAACAGTGACTTGGGAATATTTTCAGAATTTGAACCAAGTCAACTTGTGGCAATGAAAACATTTTATGCGGGTGTAATCCCAATTATTGAGCTCTGTTCCGATCCAGATCACAGAGATAGATTTGATGTGCGCTGTGTTATTGATAAAGCCATGACATTTTTATATACGATCGATTGCGGCACCCTACCCTCAGACCTTCAGTGCTCGCTATCACAGATGTGGTATATACTTTTACAAAATGAATTTTGTTTGCCAAAATATATTTGCAATGAAGACATTGAGAGTGACTTCGTAGAAATTCGAAAGCGTTGCAACGGAAGGCCAACTTTTAATGAGCTAATTGCCATAAAGTCCAGATCTGATTATGCCATTAATCTCACTGGATCTATTGACCGAACTTTATTTTGGTCTGAAGATTCTTTTAAACAAGAGTGAATTTAACAGCTAAAAGTTCTGAAGCAAGAAGCAATATCGGCAATTTTCGATTAAAATCCCCCAAGCTGTCACACGATAGATTTTCTATCGATCAATGAATTTGTTGTCCACGTTCGTTATCGGTGTTATCGGAAACATGAACATATTATTTAAGATATTTAAGATAAAATAACTTGCAATCAGTGTTCGCAAAAAAAAAAAAACGGTACACTATCGTAGTGTACCTTACTAGGAACACAAACACTAAAAAAATTTTAACGTTAGTGTTCCGGTACACAAACATTAAAAAATATTTTAATGTTACTGCTCCGGAGCACAACGAAATTCGTAGTGTACCGCTGCCGGATCACTAAAAATCGTAGTGTACCGCGGTCGGAGCACTAAAAATCGTAGTGTTCCACTTGCCGGAACACTAAAAATCGTAGTGTTCCACTGGCCGGAACACTAAAAATCGTAGTATTCCATTTGGCAGAACACTAAAAATCGTAGTGTTCCATTTGGCGGAACACTTAATATCGTAGTGTTCCATTTGTAAGAACACAAATTGATGTATTTATTATCTTTAATTTTTTTTGTATGAATAAATTTTATATTTTTACTGATTTCAATAGATTTAATAAATATAATAAGTAGGGGAGAGGGGTACACCTTTGAACAACGCTAATAAAATCTCAGTTTAAATTTTTTTCGACACGCAACCAAATTTTTTTCTGTGCCTGGCTAGCTTTTTCAGTTGTTGACAAAATTTACATAAGTGACTACATAAGTGACTTTAAATTTTTTGGTTGTAAGGGCGTAGGAAGAATTCAGTGATAGTTTTCTTTCGATAAACAATTTTTTTGCATTCCAACAATCATTTCAAACATATCTAATGTATTTTCTTTCATATATATTTACTACAAAAAAGTTATTATAAATTTCCGTAAAATATCACAGGTGGGGCACCTTTGAACATACCCAGTAAACTCCAGTAAAAAACGGAGTTTTTGACTTTTGCTTCGATTTCTCAAAAATTTCAAATGGGCTAATAAGATTACGAAATTAGCTGCATTTTGCACCATATAAAATTTTGTTTTTATGTCATTTTATGTTTTAATAAATTTCGATCAGAACTATTATCGAATATTTGTGTATATTTTTTAATAAATAAATTCATTTCTGATGTATATGAAAACAATACATATATATTTGAACATAAACACTGTAAAAAATCATGCCGTTCATACTGAGCTTTGTTCAAAGGTGCCCCCGCTGGGGGGCAGTTTTGAACACTTTGACTTCGTCCATTAAAACAGTAATAAAATATGTATATCAAGCTTAAAGTATGTCATATGTATATTCATTTTAAAGGTTAAATATGTACTTCCTAGTTAAAATTTATAAGAAACCAAAAATTATAACATAAAAAATTTATGAGGCTTGAAAGAAAAAAGTGTTCAAAGGTGCCCCCATCTCCCCTATAAAAATTATTACATAAATTAAAATAAATTTGTTAAAAATTGTTTTCATTTTTTGCTTTACTTTTCTAACAAAAATTGTTTATGATCTGAAAATTATTTATTTTTGTTCAACAAATGTATTGCATAAGACTACCTGTACAAAAATCATAAAAAGGAAGAATATTCCAATAATGGATATATGAAATTCGTATCCCAAAATCATAAAACTATTTTTCGCATATCCCCGTAATTTGTACACTTCTTTTCACGAATAAGCAGGTAATAATTATGTCGATTCTGTAACAATCACCAAATTTTGAATATTTTTGCGAACATTTCCTAAAAGTATGAATCATAGATGGATGCAGGTATATTTTTTTATTTGTAATTCCTTCATTTTACCCTTTAAGATATTTTTTCATACTAATATTTTACAAGAATATCACCTAATATTATGGGAAAAATCACGTTCGTTGTGCAAATTAATGACACAAAAACTGGTCAAAATTCCTATTTCAAACGGTCTTTTTCACTTTTGTAATCTCAAATAAAATTATATTCAATTTAACAGCCTGTTTTTGTAAAATTCTAAACGAACGAATTCGAGTGACTTACGACCAAACCTTTGTTTATGTAAACAAATATTTTTTGATTCAAAACAAAAATAAATGACATATTTTTCAAAACCAAGGTGTTTGGTCGTAATTCACTCGAATCCATTCGTTTAGAATTTTACAAAACAGGCTGTAATTTTTTTATTATTTGATCTCATTTTACCTCTAAAAATAAAACAGACGTGTATGGTACACTACCAGTACAGTTCAAGTAAGTGGAACACTACGATATTTAATGTTCCGGCAAGTGGAACACTAAAATTTTTAGTGTTTTGACCTGTGGAACACAACGATTTTTAATGTACCGCAGTCGGTACACTACGATTTTTAGTGTACCACTGCCGGTACACTACGATTTCCGGAACAGTAACGCTAAAAATATTTTTAGTGTTTGCGTACCGGTACAGTACATTATTTTAGTGTACCTATCCACCTTGGTACGGTACAGAACACTATGGAACGGTACCATAATGTTTATTTTCGAACGCTGCTTGCAATACGACCGTACACAATATTGGTTTGTTCCCGTACTGCAAGAATCTACTATTTTTTTTACTACGATAACACATTTTTCCTTTATGATATCGGAAAAAATAGTAAAAACTCGTAGATTCTTGCAGTACGGGAACAGACCATATGTTGTATCATCTATATAGTTGTACGACAAATCATAAGATGTGAACGACTTGTCATGATATTGACTGCGTCAAATTGGAAATAACGAGCATCTAAAACAAAAAGTTATCAATCAACTTCGGGATTAAAAGTCTTTGTTTTTCTTCAAAGAAAAGTTAAAATTTTAAGTCGCATTGCACTTGCAATTGCAATATAAAGCAAACAAAGGATCGAAGCATAGCTATTCTCAAGTGACATCGGAACATAATTCGTACTCATAAATTGAAACAATTGAACAGTGTTTGCCGATAAGACAAAAAACCGTTTGTGTATAGTGAATGTGAAGTTTTTGTGTACCCTATAAACCTTTGGATGGGTTTCAGAGGAATGAATAAGAACTGGAGCAAGGATTGTTTGGGACTTCGTCTTCGAGTCAGTGGTCTACATCAAACTTGGAAGTGGCTTCATCAGACGGAAGCAGTGCATGAATATTTAATATCAGTCACAGCCGCAGACTCAGCATCAAACACAATGCCAAAAATGTGAAATGTGTATCGACGAGTGCTAAAGTCCAACATACCTATTTGACCACAAAGCAATAAAACAAAAACGAAAGAAAAAACTCTAGTTAACCAAAAAAGAAAAAACAAACAAAAAGAAAACGAAAAAAATACTAACATAGAAAAAGGACTCTGTTGACACCAATTTCAAATCGACAATAACATTGTGTTGTAATTTACAATTATTACAACAATTTGACAATTTGTTGTGTGACCTTAGTAATCTTTTTGAAGAACATTCAGACAATCAGCATCGAGGAATCGATTTTAATCTACTGCCTTCCCATCACCTTCTACGTTCCCCTGTTCAATAGACGAGATCATCTGTTTCTGCGGGCGCCACTGAGAGACGACTTGACAACAGAAGCGCATTTTGCGTTCGTGTTTTATTTTACATAAAAACAAAAACAACGACAACAAAGGCAACAACAAGAAAATACATCTATTCTTATTTAGTATTTTTCCGTTGTACTGGCGACTGCTACGTGCATTATCTATCTAAAACAGGCAAAGCCGTCGAGCAAAAATATTAAAAACGTAATAATTTTGTAAAGATAGAAGAAGAAGTACAATAGCACTGTGAATCTGCTTTTTGCCAGACGCTAAAAAATATCAGCCGAGCGTAAAGATCGCCATCGTGCAATTGATTGTGGTGTATAGATGAGAACGTGAGGTGCGTCGTTACTCCAGAATATAGACTAAAATAGAAACGACGAGATAAGAATATATAGAATATATAGACATAGAGAGAGCGGAGAGCTACATATTCCGAACGACGAAGTAACGAGTAATCACAAATCTAGACGTTAAAGTCTCGTACACCTGCACATTATAGCATAACAACAGCAAAAAATAACCCTATCAGTTCTCAAATCAGACAGACTAGTCTTATTCAAGCACAATCATGAATGCTCTAATGGGAGTTAAATTAATGGGAGGCGGAGTCTCTGGTTGCCAATTGCGTGCAATGTTACGTATGGTTACAGCGATGCCACAACGACATCAGTTCTCTTCCTCCTCTGTTTCCCTCTCATCCACGACTTCGAATGACGACAATGGTAATCACAGCATTGACAATGAAACAACACGGAAGTCGATTGGAAACAGCGATACTATTAGTTCTGCGGACATAAAGAAATCTGTTTTCATTTCACAATCGTATGACATTTTCACCAATCTTGCATTAGAAGATTGGCTCTACCGTCACTTTGACTTTAGTCGCCATCATGTCCTGTTGTTGTGGGCAAATGATCCATGTGTTGTTATCGGACGTCACCAAAACCCATTCACCGAAGCCAATGTCTCCAAACTTGTGGACAAGGGAATTACATTGGCTAGACGTAATAGTGGAGGTGGTGCCGTATACCATGATAGGGGCAACTTGAATTGTACCTTCTTCACTCCACGCGAACGTTACAACCGAAAATACAATTTGAATATTTTGACTCGTGCCCTTTTCCGTGAATGGGCCATAAAGGCAGAGATAAACAAACGTGACGACATTGTAATCAATGACAAAAAGGTGAGTAGTGTGAATAGGCTGACAATTCGACATATTAAATAAACGCGAAATATAACTGCAATTTATTTCAGAATATCACATAGTCCATTAACATAATTTTTAAAAATCTTATACTATAGCCTAAATAGGGTAAGTGCACCATTAGTCGGCACTTTAAGGATTTTCGCATTTTAAACGTTTCAACGTTCCCGAGTGCATTGTTTTTACTATATTGTATTGAGGGTATTGAGGTACATCTGTCGAAATTTTGTTTACTACCCGATGCAGTAAAAATTGGTTGAATTAATTTTTATAAACTATTTTCCAATTGTGGACATGTCAGTTATATTTATTAAAATATTACAATTGTAAAACTTGGTGTCGACTTTGGGAACCGGTTATCCATTATGGCTAAATTACGCATTTCAAAGTTTAAAGGAATTTAAGATACAAACAATGTCTACTATTATGTAAAACCTCTCCAAAATGATTTTTTATAAACTATTCGTTGTTTATAATTTTTTCCAATTTTGATCCAAAATGATCGAAAACGTGCTTATTATAATGTCTTAAAATCGACACGCCCACTAATTTTTTCTTACGGAACATGAATTATCGCTAATATTGAAAAGACCTCACTGCCAAAGGCTGGTAGATTACTTCCCGATATATAGACTTTAGCCTTTACCGAAAGTTTCTAGATATTAAATTTTAGTATATCTGGTTTAATTTATATTTGTTATCATACAGTAAAATATTTTCTCCCATTGTTATTATTTATATATATTACTTATAGTGCGTTTACATCGTTAACCCAGTGGGTTTCAATTGTCAATTCCTTTGCATATATGTCAAATAAATCCTCATAAAGTAGGTTAACCCGGTAAAAAGTTCTAATGTACATTTTGTTTTATCATATAAATTAAAACGTTGTGGGAAAAATATGGGAATGTTATTTTAGAATTAAATATGTATAAACATACTATAGTCGAATTTGCTTGGTCCTTATTAGTTCGCTATAACTGTGCATGACTGTATTTGATTTTTTTTTACTTATTTTGTCATACAAACACAAGACTTTGATCTCTACATGTTAATGTTGGTATTCTATGTTATTTTAATAATTTAGCTTGTGTCTATAATGTTATTCATAAATGACGTAGCTGCTGATTTTTATAAGTATATTTTTTCTTAATTAGTAGACAAATTTGGAGTAATGTGCTTCGATTTAAACCAAACATATTCATCAACTATTAAAGCGGATAGTCCCTATATCGTTGTCGACATTTGGTATTTTTGGTATTCCCTAATGCCATGTTCTGACGGGCATCCGAACAACGTAGTTCGCTCTCAGAATTACGTACATGAATTAACCCGTTCATACAACACTATTCATAATTCATATCATCAGAGTTTTTTATTTCAAACTTTTTGTTTCTTGTTTTACACCAAAAATGTAACATATTTTAGTGAATTACATAGGGATCTAAATAGAAAAAATAATTCTCTTTCTCCTGACTATAGTATGAACCTATATCTATTTACTTTTCATTCATGTTTTCCATTTTTTCTGAAAATGTTGTTGTTTTTAATACATTTTTATATTTTCTCAATTCAAATGTCACATACTGTCACAAATAAAAATTTGGAGAATTTTTTGTTTGAGTTGCCCCACATTTGTTTCTTGTTTTGTACGCTAATTAGAACCAAGGGAAAAGAAATGCATATTGCATTATGTAGAAAATAAAATTTACATCCTGCTGCATATATAAAAACTATACAATTTTTTACTTTTCATTCATGATTTTCAATTTTACTGAAAAAGTTTGAAAATTTCATAAATATTTTCAAACTGTCAAAATTAATTTATTTTCGATAAACACTCTCAATTGTTAGGGATGGGACAAATTTATTGGTTATTCAGAGAGTGATTCGAATTGAACAACGTACAAAAGTCGGTGTTCGCTCAGACAATTTTGTATGGGGAAGTAAGTAATTCCTTCATAATTAAGGGTCGAACAACGAATGAGAGAGCGAACAACGCTCGTCTGTACATGGCATAATGCCATGTTCTGACGGGCATTCGAAAAACGTAGTTCGCTCTCAGAATTACGTACATAAATTAACCCGTTCATACAAGATTATTCTTAATTCATGTCGTCAGAGTTTATTTTTTCAAACTTTTTGTTTCTTGTTTTACACCAAAATTGTAACATATTTGCATGAATCACATATTGATTTAAATAGAAAAAATAATTCTCTTTCTCCTGACTATAGTATGAACCCATATCTATTAACTTTTAATTCATTTCTCATTTTTTTTTATATTTTCTCAATTCAAATGTCAATATAAAAAATTGGAGAATTTTTTTTTGGGTGGCCCCACATTTGTTTCTAGTTTTGTACGCTAATTAGAACAAAAGGGAAAGAAATGCATATGCATTATGTAGACAACTAAATTTAGATCCTTCTGCATACAATTTGCACAGGCAATTTTTTACTTTTCATTCATCATTTTCAATTTGACTGAAAAAGTTTGAAAATTTGATAAATATTTTCAAACTGTCAGAATTAATTTATTTTCGATAAACACTCTCAATTGTTAGGGATGGGACAAATTTCTTCGTTATTCAGAGAGTGATTCGAATTGAACATCTTATAAAGGTAGGTGTTCGCTCAGTATGGGGAACTAAGTAATTACTTCATAATTAAGGGTCGAACAACGAATGAGAGAGCGAACGATGCCCGTCTGTACATGGCATAACAAAGTGTGACGACGATGTCGAAGATTTATTCGTCATTGTTTTAGTTTACGACTGAAGTGTTGGAACAATATTTTTTAAGAATTTAAAAAACAAACTATGACCGAACAAGAACAGGATGACCGAACAAGAACGTAATTCAAAATTAGGTGTAAATAAAAAAGAAAAATATATGGGATCTATATAAACATCTGAACCTAATTTGACCAATATCAATTGAGCTCGGATCGGATCATAAAGGTGACCTGTAACTTGTTTAAAATAATACATTAACAGGGCAGAGTGTATAAATCGACTCAAAAAGTAATTCTATGTACATATGGGAAATTACAAAATTCTATTAAAATTCCATTAAAAAAAATTTGAAATTTTTTTTTGCGAGCACATTTATGATTTTTGGTACGTAGGTTAAGAAAAATATGCTGATTCGAAATATGTTCGCGTTCACAAATTCGGATGCTGCGCACACAAGTTATAGCAGTTTTAAATCTTGTATTTCAAATATAAATTAAATGAATTCCTATTTGTTGTAATTCGCGAATTTCTTCACAAATGTTTAAACATCATTGTTTTCTTTGCATACTAGTCAAATCACATTGAAATACGGTATAATAGTCGCGAAAAGCAAATAGAAGCATGAAGATATCGGAAAATAAAATAAATTAATTTTTGAATTAAAACAATTTTTTTTTTGAATTTTCGATTTTTAGTAAGGTTAAGAGGATACGGTTTTGCCTTAATCTTCTAAAATATACGACGCTTTCTTCTGCAAATTCCTTTTAGATGATTGTTAAATATCGGTAAATTCATCTAATAAGAGTTTCGTCGTTAAAAGTGACTAAATATATTGCACTTACAGTTCATAAAAAAGATCAATATTGAAAAGCATGCAATTCGCGTTTTTGTTGAAATCAGTTGATGTGCATGCGGTTTTCGTATAAACCGAATCAATCTCTTCCAATAATTATGCATTTTTCGAGGTTTCATTAAGCGGCCAAAGTGTGCCGCTCGATGCACTTTACTATGCAAAAACCCTAAAAATTACTAAAAATGGCGCAACGTGCATACGATTTTTATGCGCATCCGATTTCAGTAATCTCCTATGAAAATACACAAAAGGACACCTATTTTAAAAGGATCGGTTAAGAACCGCGGGTGTGCCTCCACAATCGATTGTTGATAAATTTTTGTCGTGCTCCTGTTTTTGATTAAAAATATTTATTTTGTGTTTTTTTAACCCGTTTGTGAATCTTAAAAAGTGTTAACAGTGTTTAAAATCTATTTTTGATTTGTCTGTGCTAATTGGTGTAGTGAGTTTTGTGATAAGTAATAAAAATCAATTTATTTTCTTATTGGTATTCCGTGTTCCATTCCTTGTTTGTTTCCCTTGTTACATTTCTTCATTTGTTTGTTGTAACATTGTTCTTGTTTATTTTCTTATTATCTTCTCAAAACAGAGTTGCCAATAAGACTTATTTTGTAGAAATTAAAGGATTACGAATTCCAGCTACTTTTTTTGAATTTTATCTTTTTTTTTTCAAATATTTGAATTAAACATTTTTTACAATGGTCTGTCCGTATGAATTATGTAACATCTCTAACGATGATGAATTGTGCGTTACATGTTGGTTTTGTTTAAATCAGTGGCATGTTAAGTGTGCTCGTATCAACGCGAAAGTAGTTGATACTATTAGAGACAATGTGGGCGTTCGTTGGTGCTGTGTTCACTGTAGAAAACTTTCTGCCGACTTTTATAATTTTGTAAAAGACTTGCAATCGGAGCTTGTATCCATTAAGAAAGATTTTACATCATTAACAAGTCGTTTTGAAAATTTTTCGAATTTGTTCAATAAGTACCAAGAACTCGATGAATTTGTATCATCGCCGTCCGTTTCTGGGCAGAAACGAAAGCGGCCTTCGAAGAAGGCACCAACTAAAATGATGTCTATTCGTAAAGCCTCTATTTCTGCTGGGAATACTGTATCACGAACAGCGTCAGATAATATTGATAAAACTGATGCTGTTAATGAACAGACTTATGCCAGTGTCGTGTCTCATGCAACCATGGAAGCTAGCAAGGATGTATTGGAAGTGACAATACCTCATAACGCTATGAGTATTGATAACAGTAGTCTTGAGAAGACCGCCAAATCTACTCATAGTAGATGTCAGTTCCTTCATCTGGTGCGCCTTCCGAGATTGTAGCTGGCAATTCCCCACTACCTACCCAAAGACCATTATCAATGGCCCCGGTCATGAAAATGGTTTTTGTGTCTAGGTTTGCGCCTGATACCTCGGCTG